CGGGCCGGGAAGACCAGAATGGCGTTGAACGAGTGGAGAAAAATAACCAAGGATAAATGGATACTAGAAACTGTAGACGGTTATCGGGTACAGTTGTCAGCAACTCCTTTTCAGTATAAAATTCCAAAACCATTTAATTTTAAAGAAACCAAAAAACAAGCAATACAGTTTGAAATTACACGTTTTTTTTAAAAAAAATCAAGGAATAATTAAACTTGCAGATGAAAACTTGGACGGAGAATACATTTCGAATATATTCACAAGACCAAAATCAGACGGACGGATTAGAATTATTTTGAATTTAAAATCCTTCAATAGCATCTACGTCAGCAAAATACATTTTAAAATGGAAACTTTGGGATCAGTGACCACAGCAATGAGGAAAAAATGTTATTTCGGCAAGGATACGAACGGGACAAACAGTATTTTCGTTTCCTTTTCAAAGGTGTAACATACCCTTTTTTACAGCGCTTGGAGGGGGATTTGAAAAAACCCCAAATGATTTTAAACAAAAACTTTTTTAAAGCCAGCAATAGCATCTCCCGTCAGAAAAATACTTTTTTTAAAAGGGAAAAATTTTGGGATCAGTGCCCAAACACCCAAATGAGGAAAAAATGTTTTTTCGGAAAGGGGTACAAAGGGAAACAAACATATTTTCGTTTCCTTTTCAAAGGTTGTAACATATAAAATTTACACGCTTTATGGGTTTTGAAAAAGCCCTATGATTTTTATTTAAAAATTTGTTAAGCCGGGTTTTTTCTCATTTAAGACGGGGGGTTCTTTTAAGTTCAATTTATTTTGACGCCCGCATGTTTGCAAGGTCAGCCCTTCTCCGGGCCTGTGCTCGAAAAAAATCAGCGAAAAAATTTAAATTTTTTAAAGACAAGTTAGGATTTACAATTTCAATGAGTAAATCTTTCCTGGTTCCGTCGAAAAAGATTGTATTTTTGGGATTGGTACTGTGCTCTAAAACAATGACTATAAGATTAACAAAGGAAAAATGTGATGATATCACAGAGCTTTGCAATAACATAATAACATGCCGGCGAATAACAATTCAAAAATTTTCAACTGGTTGCAGCATCACCGGGGGTTATGCATGCTCCGTTATACATAAAACCTTTAGAACTACATAAGGAAAGGGAACTGAAAACAATAAGGGTAATTTTAATAGTTTTTTTTACAATCACACCAGATATTTTGGGAAATTTGCGATGGTGGATCACTCATATACATTCATGTTTCAAAAGTATTACATCGCCTGACCCGAATAACATTATGTTTACTGATTCTACGGGACATATGTGGGCGCGTATGACAAAACGAACAAATGGATTTTGGTCGGCGGAAGAACAAAATCAACATATCAATGTGTTAGAATTAAAAGCGTGTCAAGTTGGGCTATTGTCGCTTTTTAAACACAACAGAAATATCTATATAAAAATTTATATGGATAACACTACGAGTGTATCATACATAAATAATTACGGGGGAAGAATAGATTCATTGAATAAAATTGCGCACGATATCTGGCATTGGTGTATTCAAAGAAACATTATGTTATCAGCACACTATGTATCGGGGCCATTGAACTGCACGGCAGACATACTGAGTCGTACTGGAAATGAAGATCTAGAATGGAGTATCTCACCCGAGATGTTCACAGAAATTTGTCGGTCTTTCCCGTCCTTAAATATAGATTTATTTGCATCTCGCTTAAATAACAAGTTTCCGACGTATGTTTCAAGACAACCTGGCCCAAATGCTTTTGCTATAGACGCTTTTTTATTCTCGTGGCAGGATAATTGTTATTATTGTTTACCTCCTTTCAGTGTAATAGGCAGGGTCCTGCAAAAAGTAGAAATTGATCAAACAGAACTACTGTGTTTAGTAGCACCAATATGGCCTGCACAGACTTGGTGGCCGACAATACAACTTATTGTTGCACTATGCCTTCTACTTCAACACCCTCAGGACATCCTTACGTTGTGCCATCGACCGGGAAAGAAACATCCATTAAAAAAGATGAGACTGGCGCTTTTTCCCATATCAGGAAAGTGCTTGAAGATAGAGGGATTTCAAATGAAGCTCAGCAGATTATCATTAATTCGTGGCGGAGAACAACAAGGAAACAGTATGAAACATACCTTAAACAATGGTTTCATTTCTGTGAAGGGAAACACGATCCCTTTAAACCCCTTGTAGCAACAGTGATAGCATTTTTGTCTCACCTATATTCAAAAGGGATAACCTACAGTTCGATTGGTATTGCCAGATTAGCAATTTGTGGGTTTGTTAAGATAACTTCAAACGTAGATCTCAGCAATCATAACCTTGTTTCACGGTTCATGAAAGTTGTATTTAACATAAGGCCGGCACTTCCGAGGTATAAAGAGATATGGGACGTGCGAACAGTTTTAGATTTTTTATCAAAAACACAAAATGATACTTTATTATTTTTGGCTGGAAAATTAAGCATGTTGTTTTAATTGTTGTCAGCTCAGCGGTGTCAAACACTCCATCTCATTTGTTTGGAAGACATTAATATTTCAGACGAAAGATTGATAATAAACACTCCACATTTATTAAAAACATCAAAACCTGGTCGACATCAGACACCCTTTTTATTTGACAGTTTTAAATCAGATAAACGCTTGTGTATTGTCAGCGTCATTAGTGAGTATTTACAGAGAACGAAAGACCTCAGAAATACCAATAAATTACTGATATCAACGGTCAAGCCTCATGGAGCCGTTTCTAAACAAACAATTTGGCGCTGGATTAATCTAATTATGCACAAAGCTGGGGTGCATAAATCATTAAAACCACATAGCACGCGCGCTGCTGCGTCTTCAATCGCACACATGTGTGGAGTCCCGTTACAGACGATAATTGATTCAGCGGGATGGAGCAATGCAAAGACATTCGCTAAATATTATGATAAACCAATATCAAAAACCAATGGAAAATCTATACAGGCTATCATAGATATTGGCTAATTAGAGTGTATAATAATGGGACCAAAAAAAAAAAAAAAAAAAATAGTAATAATAATAATTATAGCTGTATTTAATTACTTTCTATATAGTTGTGCATGGCAATCACATTCTGAAAAAAATATGAAAAACTTGTGTTTTTACCGAATTGCAAAGTACAAAAAGACCTTTATATGTCTTGAAATTAAATCGTTGTTCTTCATAATAACATGAAAGATAAATATTAACTATGGCGTAGGACGGCACGTAATGTCCTTTCCAAAATATCGCAAAAAGGACTCTAAAATCTCTGTGGGGCCCATTAGTGAGTTTATATGTAGGATGAAATTATATGATTAAGCTAGACTTACCTGTAAGGTGAAGGTTAATCATGATTTCATCCACATAAAACTCACTAAGGGCTCACACACCCAACCCGCTACCTCCCCGTTTAAACTGATACTTTTGCGATATTATTCGACATTACTTACTCTAAAATATGACCACTGGCTGCTGATAGCTGCGTCTTCTCTCTCTGTGTGAGCCCTTAGTGAGTTTTATGTGGATGAAATCATGATTAACCTTCACCTTACAGGTAAGTCTAGCTTAATCATATAATTAAAACTCATTAATTTAATGATATTACTTACTGTATGTAACTGATGTTTTTTTCTTGTATATAGTACGTAAAATTAGAATTATTAAAATTTGGTGTAAAATTAAAAATATGCCTTACTGAACTATGTATAAATTAATGATGTTGCAGGGACGAAATGATACATTGTTAATAGTTGTCATGTAAAGTAAAAAGGTTATTAGATGATCTTGGTTTTCTTATCTGTGGAATTGTGATATCTGAAATGAATGTCAAATAGTTTTTTTTTAAAAATACATGATATCCATGAATCCATTTACAATAATGGTTATCTGAGTCTTCTAAATTAAATTGTTATAGAGGATTTAAGTGAAAATTTATTCAAGCTAGTTATTCAAAATACTGTTAATGTCGAGGCACATATGAAAGAACTAGCAAGATTTAAATGTTCATCACATAACTTAAAGAATTGAAGAATGTCGATATAGGAATTAGAAAGCGAGAGATTATGTTTAAGATGAAATATGAATCAAGATGAATCAGATTACTTTTTTTAGTGTGTCCTTTTAAAAGAGAATCATTTGTGAAATTCTTTTAGATGTTATTATTATAATTGGGGCCCAAATATAAAAAAATTCAATTAAAGCTTTCCCAACAGCCAAAAGATCGTTCTAGTTTAAAACTTGAAACATTTTTTAAACTGGCTTTGAAGAAGAGAAAAAATTTTCTGTTTAATTTTATTTTTTTTAAACTTTTTTTGCCGTTTATTAGAATTAAAATATATTAAATAAAATTAAATATTTAGTTTTTTTTCCTTTTTGTGGGCATATGTTAAATTTTAAAATTTTTTTCCATTTTTGTTTAAAACATTGGGAAAAAGGGAAAAGTGAATTTATATATTTTCATCTTTTTAATATTATAAACTTTGTTAAATTTTAAACCCCCAATCATTTTTGGCGATTTTTTAATGTTTAAAACTAATAAAATTTTATCTTTAACTTTGAATGTTTTATTTTTTAAAAAAACACTCATACACAAACTGACATTACTGGATATAAAATTAAATGTTCATTTTCTAGTTTTCTGTATGATTTTCTGTCATTTAAAAAAAATCAAGCGTTTATATTAAGATTTTTTATTGTATATGGTTGATTATAGTTAAGGATCATCCTAGAGACATTATTAGTCGTGCCTTACTGACTGGATACCCGATGCGATACCCTAGAATGACTACCTACTGGTATTAATAATAATAATAATAATGATAATAATAATAAAATCTTTATTTATAGAAGGTAACATACAAAGTTCACAGTAACAAGTAACTTAATTTTCAGTATGGCCTTCTGATTAAACAATAACAAAGAAAGAAAAAAGGAGATCTATACAATATTTAAAATCTTTTGGTATATATATAAAAAATATTTATATTATTTAATGTAAAGGTTAGATAATTTTTATTCATGCATCCGACCGGCACTCATATTAATTATGGTAATTATAGATAAACTCGTAATGATTAAAAAAAGAAAAAATGATGATATCAAGATTTACAACAATTAAAATATGAAGTGATCAATTTTCATCATGTATCTAACTGTAAACTTAGAAAATAATTTTTACAGTTGTTTTTGAAAGATTGTAAAGTCGAACAAGTTAAGTTTGATAAGTTTTTTATTCAAATTCCATAAGGCCACATGACCCGTGAGGATATACAACGCAACATATATATGGCAAGACAGTGTACAAAAAATAAATTTGCAAACAAGATTTAACAACAACGGAGATTAACAATCAATTGCATGTTGAAATATCTAAGTATTAATAACTAATTTCTTATAATATCTACAGTAAAGGTTTACATAATTATTTATGTGGTGTATTCTATAAAAACCCTGCTCTGCCTTGTCACAAAATAACTGTAAGTTAGATATATATGAGTCTTTACATACTATACAATCCATGTTTTACGTTTGGTGAAAAAATAAAAATCATTACAATATTTGATAAGCAGAATATGAATAATATAAAAAAAATGTTGAAAATATCACTAAATATTTCATAGATTTTTTTAATCTGTAGTGCATTAAAGATAGCGTGATGTATGATGACGGTGTCTCTTTTGTCGATATATTCCAAAGAATTGTAACTTTTAGTTTTATTTATTTTTAGAAAAACGTAGATTTATATTATTGTTTTCTTTGTTTCAGTATGGTGAGCTCGTAAATCTTAAATCAAAGTAATAATTATTCAACATTCATTACAGTATTTTGTAATTAATTATTACTATGCCGTTTTCCAAAACTACGGGATACTTACAATTTATTTAACTTTAAATACCTATTGGTTACGTGTGAATTATCAAGTTAATGCGATTGAATTGCGTGGTAAAACACGGTGTGTTTAGAATCAAGAATCAAACCAAAATAGTAATCATGATCAGTTATCCAGCCAAGCTCTAATATTGGAATATATCGTTAAGCTTATTATTGTAAACGTTTTTTTATTTATTTGACTGTCATTTTATGTAATACCGGTATCTTATTCAATACTATATAAATAAGGCAATTTCAACCTGCCCATCTTACAAGAGTAATGACTTAGATCTTCATATCCCTTAATTAATGTACTTAGTCGTATCTACAATGTCTACCGTATCCCAAATCAAAGGGCGACAACTTGAATCCGGTCTTAAATGGAAGGGTTATCGATTCTTCAAAGACAAATTCGAAGGGTTACAAATCACCTCCCCTGCATAATAATCCCAACAATCTCCTCGTTTATCCTTAATGCATTATGATATAGAATATCAACTGTCCCGTTTAGGTATTGCAAGACAATCTTAAAAGACCACGACTTCGTTGGCCTTTTATTTTTGATTGGCTTACCACAATGCACGTCCATTAGTTCACAAAGTTCAATATCTTTGCAAAATTCCAGAATTCCATTCTCCGAACAATTAATTTCAACAATGTTTCTTTTCAAAAGATCTTGAAGCATTTCTTTATTCCATCCAGTTACCTCCTCATGATTCTCTATATCATCACTTGTTTGCTCGAATTGCTCCATATAACGTCTTGTCTCCCGGAGCAAAACTTCGATATTGACAGATGCTCCTAATCCAGGCACTTGCTCTTTACACCTTGTGGTTGCCTCAGTTGCAACATTTTCAGCAGTTTCAAGAAGTATCTTCCTTTTGTGTAGAAATGATTGTTTTTTATGACTGTAGCATGTAAGTATGTAGTCCATTCTGAATTTTAAGGATAATTCGTTAAGATTTAGCAAAAGAGAAGGAAAATCATACTGTTCTGCATGAAAATTATCAATAAGGTAAATGTCTCTTTGTGTTAAACCATATTGTTGTAAATTATAATAGCAGTCACTTCTTATTGTTAACAAAATTTCTTCTTTACTTCGAGGTTTGGTACGGCCTAAGGCATCAGTTATTATATCATTATAAATTTTTGTCCGAACAAAATAAAACTCCTTATTACTATTTTTAATTATGCTTGCTAGCCATAATTCATTCTCGGTAAATCGTTCAGATCCCAAAACAAGGAAAAAGTCATATTCAAACAAATTTAACTTCTCGACATAATTATCTTTTTTATAAGTATCTGTACCAAGACCTGGCAAGTCCCAGAGAACAACGTGTTCCATGTTTGGTGTATGGTATGGCATTATACAGTTTGTACATTCCTTGACGTCAGTGTCAGCTGCTCCCGCGTGTCCTACTTTAAGTCCAAGGACGGCGTTTATAAAACTTGATTTTCCCGCTCCCGATTTCCCTGTCACGGCAACATTCCACTTTCCTGGTTGCAATGGTTTAGATTTTGTAGAAGGTTCTAGTTTTGAACAAGCCATACCGTCTTTGAAAGCTTTAGTTCTGCGATTATTTAAATCGTCACAACTTGTTTTCACTTGTTCTGTTCTGAAAATAACATGAATGATTTAAGCAAATAAAGGCAAAACATTAACATCAAGGAAGAAACAAATGATTTTCTTCTCACTCAAAACCGTACGTTGTACCTGTAGTAAGTTTACAGCTAATCATTTTAATAATTTAAGGGTGACCTTCTCTTGAGTGGCATAGCGGTGGCATAGGATCTGATATTTGCCTTGTTGTGGAGAAAATTTGAACCAGTTTGAAGAGTATCCATCAAAGAAGAGTATAGGACGAGCGGTCACGAAAAAGTCTCACATTTCAAGGGTGATCTTGACATTGAGCCTGCGCAGAAGCTGCATGGGTTCTACATGACTTCTTAGGGTTAACATTTCAGCCAAGTTTGAAGAAAATACTTCAATGTGTATGGGATTTATACAGCGGACATATTTGGCCTTCAATGATAACCTTGAACTTGAGCGAGCAGGGCACTGCGGTGACGTGTGCTCTTTAAAGTGTCTTGTTGAGGTCAATATTAAGGATGACCTTGATATTGAGTTGGCACAGTGGTAGCATAGGTTCTGATCATTGCCTTGTTGTGGTGAAATTTGAACCAGGTTTGAAGAATATCTTTCTGGGAGTATGGACAGAATTGTCTGATATTTGACCTTTGACCTTCAGAGTTTGCCATAGGCACAGCGGTTACATGGGTTCTGCTTATTGCCTTGTTGATCAATATTTGAATAAATCTATCATGAGGAATATAATTTATAAACTGGGCTTGATGGAGGCGGATGGACTGACCGACCGCCCGATTGACCAACCAAATTACCGACTGATGGAGGCAACAAAGTGATTCCTCCACATTCTGTTGTGGATTATAATAAGAACTGCTTCCAGGAAAAAGAACAACTTTTTCATTTACACATTTTAGGGTTCCGATAACATATGGCGCGTTTTTATGCTACGTTTATGTAATGCAAATGACATCAGGTCATACTATATGCAAGGTCGTGCAATGCCATAAATACGAATTGTCAAAAGCGGTATAAAATATCGTTTTTCACAAGAAACATCCAAACATAACGATACTATGGCCATTTTTAACAAAATTCAATAATTCGAAGATAAAGATCATGTTTATTTTCAAGTCACTTTTTAAGTATGAATAAAAAAAATATTGCCAGGTTTAGTGAAAGTCAATAATTTGACCCAAATCGTCAGGGTCATTTCTGATCAAGGTCAAACTTTAGTTGAAATTTTAAGTGTTTTGTTCTTGATTGAATCAAATCTATCAAAATAACACAATCATGGCCAGTTTGAGCAAAATTCAGTAATTTGACCTTAAAATCAATCTTGAATTGTTCAACGTGTCGTTTTTATGTTCAGTGTTGTATAGTTTAACTATAAATTAGATCCATCTAATAATGAAAATTATAGCGAATTAAAGCAAAGTTCAATTAGTTGACTATTAAGGTCATAAATAGTAAGGTCAAGTTCATTTCAATCTAGTTATATGTAAGTATGAATACAAAACATCTGTTAATATTGGTTACAAAGTAATTATCAATTATATCCGATTTCAGCAAAAAGGAAATAAATCTTGAAGGTCAAGGTCATTTATTGGTCAAGGTCAAATTTCTTACGGTATGCGTAAACAGGCTTTATAACAAAAATTTTTTGTTTTATTAAAATCAGTTGAGCGATTTTAGAGAAGAAGTACAAACAGACGGTCTGACAAACAGCCAGGATCCCGTTTCTCAAAACATTAGTTTAAATTAACCAGTAGAAATATTATTCCATTTGATTAATCCGCTGAAATTTATCGACATTGGATTTGCCGTCCCTACCTAACAAGCGGATAGCGCATTTATCATTTCAATGCTACAGGGTGCTTATTGTGTTTGGGTGAATGGCTGAATTATTGATGAATAATGAATTTAGAAGCATACAGAATTGGTATTACATGTTTTTATATTTATGCATTTAATGTATTGACATTAACAAAAAGTATGTTGAAGAACTTTATAGTATTGATATTGTATATCTAGCTTCCCTTTTGACAGATAAAAACAACTTTTTCTCAAAATCCGAGTAAAAAAGTCATCCTGTTCGAACTAAGAAAATGAGTACTGACACTTCTATGTTTTGTCTTAAACAGAAATTTATTACTGTTTAACTGAACTGCAACAACAACAACAAATTATGTTGAAAAAAAGCATGTAAATATTTTGTGCTTCAAAGAGGCATTTGTTACATACGTGAGTAAATTATTTGTATATACCGGGTATACTGTAAAATACAGCAATGTTTTTTTTAAGAAAATAGAAAACACGTACGTATTAATAAGCAATATTAATAGTTTATACTTCCGCATTGGTAATGTTAATGTAACATTAGCAGAAAAAACTTAAATAATTTTTCGGAAACCGCTCGCTTGTTGTCCCAAATCGCAGTATCGCCTGTATTTTTCATTTATTCAAATATCACTTCCTGTTCCTATTATGAAAAGAAACGTTTTTCATAATACAATGGGACAAACTTATTTAAACGGGGGAAGATTGTGCTAAATGCAAACTGATCTTTTTATTAATTTTCCCAGAATCTTCGTACATTTCTTCCAGAATTGACGTCAGACAGTATGAAGTAGTTTTGTAGGATAATATTCCAGATACGGCGCTTCCTAAAATAGGTATCACGAATTTTACGACTTCACATGCTGCTTCCGATATAACATATTCTCTACAGAGAGCTATTAATCCTTTCTGTGTGCAATTTATCAGGAAAGTTTTCATATCAAGTTTCTTTTTCAGTTCTTCTTGTTGCATACCTAACATATCTGCGCTCTTTTTGATAGCATCATCAGTTAATCCAAACTGATCCCTGTAAAACTGTGATTCTTTGACCATCAAAGCAACGTCGACAGTTGCACCAACTCCAGGAACTGGAATTGCACCAGCCACTGCAGAGGCCAGAGAAATGATTGGAATTCTTTTCTCCATTTCTTTCTTTTTCTGAAGTATGATACTATCAGAACGACCAATAATGGAAAAAGCAATAACTTCCCGTTTCAGTTGAGGTGCATCTTCGATTAACTGTATTTGCAAAACACTAAAATCATAGTCGTGCGGCATAAAGTTGTCAATCAAGTAAACAGGGGTGTCTTTTATACCTTGTTTTTTAAGATTTTCGAGGCAGTCGGCTCGTATAGTGTCAAGGATTTCTTCTTTTGTGCGGGGATTTGCCCTGCTCATTGCTTCTGTGAAGATATCCATGTAAACTTTAGTACGTACAAAATAGAAACGTTTATCCATCTTCCTTATTTCTTTAGCCAGCCAGCTGTCGTTTTCTGAAAATCGCTCAGATGAAAAAATCAGAAAGAAATCATATTTTTCAAGATTGACTTTATCATGATACTCGTCACGTTTGAAATTCTCTGTACCAACTCCAGGTAAATCCCAAAATACCAAGTTTTTGTTCGACGGGTGTTCATATGACTTTACTTCTTTTGTTGCTTCTTTAACATCTGTATACGCGGCTCCCTCTTCTCCTACTTTGAGACCCCGAATTGCATTGATATAACTTGATTTTCCAGCACCTGATTCTCCAGTGATTGCGATGTCCAGTGGAATGTTACGCCATGCATTTAATCTTTCCGTAGCATATTTTTGAATACCAGCAATTCCATGGTCTTTAAGCGCAGCGACAAACTTATCTCCTTCGTCTGTCGGTACATTCTTCAATACAAAACTTCTTTGATCAGCCATCAATCAAATTTGTCGGACATAACACTGAAACAAAAAGTAAATTGCAACTAGGCCATGTTGTAACTGTTGATGATGGTGCAAACTGCTCAGTTACAATGACGTGATTTTTCCTGATAAAACTGTGCCAGTTTATGAATACTGTGTATCCGTCGCAACAAATAGATTATTTGGCAAATCATTTATTCCCCTTGAAATGTAGATAGCTATATATTTATTGTTTCTTAATTGTAAAATAAGTGTGCATATTATGATTAAATTGATTACAGGATACCTTGATTTGCAGAAAGTTGCTGATCAGTATATGTAATTGAAAGCGAGTGATGTGTTTATGGAATCATCACCTAACCTATTTTTTGTTTTGGATATTTTGTTTATATAATGTATATGTAGTTGTTCTTTTTTGTTGTTTCTTTCATTTGCCTCATTTGATGTTTTATACCCCCCGCTACAAAATGGATGGGACATATAGTGCTACACAGTTTCGCCATTTCGTCATTCTATCATTCCGTTATCATCAGTTAACGTTCATTATTTTGGCAACAGTTGCACACATGACATATGGAAACGTCAAGAAAAAGTGTAGGTCAAGTTCGAATTTGGTCATGGTCTGATGATTTTTGACAGAATTTTCAGTTTCCATTTATTATGTTCCCATCAGCTGAACATATTCAACTCAAATTTGACATATGGATATTTGACATATGGACATGTAAAAGTAATGCCCAGGTTATGTTCGAATTTGATCATTGTCTAATGATTTTAATTAGATTTATGCCCCTAGAAGTAATTTTCAGTTTCCGGTCGTTATCTTCCCAATAGTTGTACACATTGCCCCTTTAACTTAGAATAAAATAAGAAATTTTCAGTTTCCGTTTATTATCTTCCCAATAGTTGTACACATTCAACTCAATTTTAAGATATGGATATGTCATTGAAATGCGCAGGTCAAGTTCAAATTTGGTCATGGTTCGATAATTTTTGACAAGAGTTATCCCTTTTGGAAGTTAAAAAAAGATAATTCACTTTCCGTTCAATATTTCCCCAACGCTTGTACATACGAGTATTCAACTTAAATTGAACTAAGGATATGTCAAAGGAAAGCGCAGGTCAACTTCGAAGTTGGTCATGGTTCGATGATTTTAGAGAAGAAGTGCATAAAGTTCTGCCCCTTTAACTTTGAAAAAGAAGAGAAATGTTCAGTTTCCGTTCATTATCTCCCGAACACATTCAACTTAATTTTGACATATGGGTACGTCAAAGGCATACACAGGTCTAGTTTAAATTTGGTCATGGTTTGATGATTTTTGACAGAGTTATGCCTCTTTAACTTTGAAAAAAAAAAATTCAGTTTCTTTCATTATCTCCCCTACAGTTGTACACAGTCATCTAAAATCAAACATATGGATAAGTCTTAGAATGTCAAGTTTGAATTTGGTCATGGTTTGATAATTTTCGACTAGAGTTATCCCTCTTGAACTTTGAAAAAAAAGATAAATTTTCAGTTTCCGTTCATTGTCTGTCCTACAGTTGTACATATTCAGCTGAAATTTAATATATGGATATATCATATACATTTATATACGCAATTTAAGTTCGAATTCGGTTGCGGTTCGATGAGATGTTCTGTTTCCGTTCATTATCTTCCCAACAGTTGTACATATTCAGCTGAGATTTAATATATGGATATATCATATATATATACGCAAGTCAAGTTCGAATTTGGTTGCGGTTCGATGATATGTTCTGTTTCCGTTCATTATCTTCCCAACAGTTGCACATATTCAGCTGAGATTTAATATATGGATATATCATATATATACGCAAGTCAAGTTCGAATTTGGTTGCGGTTCGATGATATGTTCTGTTTCCGTTCATTATCTTCCCAACAGTTGTACATATTCAGCTGAGATTTAATATATGGATATATCATATACATTTATATACGCAATTTAAGTTCGAATTCGGTTGCGGTTCGATGAGATGTTCTGTTTCCGTTCATTATCTTCCCAACAGTTGTACATATTCAGCTGAGATTTAATATATGGATATATCATATATATACGCAAGTCAAGTTCGAATTTGGTTGCGGTTCGATGATATGTTCTGTTTCCGTTCATTATCTTCCCAACAGTTGTACATATTCAGCTGAGATTTAATATATGGATATATCATATATATACGCAAGTCAAGTTCGAATTTGGTTGCGGTTCGATGATATGTTCTGTTTCCGTTCATTATCTTCCCAACAGTTGTACGCTTTCAACTCAAATTTGACATATAGATGCATCATTGGAACAAGCAGGTCAAGTTCAAATTTGATTATGATAAGATGATTTTGATGACAAAGATTAGAAATTTTCGGTTTCCGCACTTTTACTTTTGTGAAAGTATATATTAAAACAGAATTATAAGGTTGAAATGAACATGTATGTACAAGGTTGAAATCGCATGTGAGGTTTTGGTCAGATGATTTTTGACAAAGTTATCCTTCTTAAACTTAGAATGTTTCAGTTTCTGCTCTAAATCTTGTAGGAATGTATGTCCAAGGTTGCTGGTATTTTTACCAGAAAATACAAGTCAAGTTCTAATTTAGTCATGGTCAGATGTTTTTTTAAAGTTATCTCCCTTGAACTTTAAAAAGTCACAATTTCTAATCATTATATCGGCTTTGCAAAAGGTTAACACTGAATAATTTCAGGGCTATTAGAATAGTTTGTGTTAAATGGGCCTTGAACTTAGAATAAAAAATGGTTTGTGCAAACAGGTTTGGAACTAAATATTTATAACATTTGAATTTTTGGCTGCATGCGGGGGCATTCGCGGCGTGATGACACATTTGTAGTCACGATTATTATTTTTCTTTGTATTATCAATTTACCAAGGCCCCTATAATGTATTCGTCTGATTCACATCATATATGTGGCAACATGATTGTTATCATCAATTTTATCTAGGATATTTATTAAAAGTTACTTTTCTGTTTATCCATTTGACTTAAAAAGGGATGGCTTTTGGCGGATGGCGTGGCAAAAGTCTCAACAGAATTATTTTGATTGGTCGAATCATTTTGCTCAATAATTTCTTAATTCATTGAATGCATTTATTGGTTGATTTAATTATTTTTGTTTACATATTGTATTTTCTTTGGTTCAATATTGAAAGCGATGATATAATCATTCTTGTATTGTACCACAATAGTATATTTTGTGAATATAGTTTAGTTTAACTCGTTACAATTTCAGTATTAAACAACCTCTCATTCAATATTCTTTCTTTGTTAACAACAATGATTTTCAGACGGTGTTAAAATTTAAACAAACTTGTTTCTGTTCGAAATTGCCCGGGAGAATTAATTGTTACAGTAATTTATAAGTTTGTCTTTAATAGAGTTCAAAATAGTTAAAATACAATTTAACGATACTGCAAGATACTTTTTGATCGCATTTATCATGATATAAAAGTAATACAAAGTAATACACTCAAACTCGTATTGCTTACAGAAATTCAAAAGCAAATTTCAATGAAATCAAATTTCCTTTAACTAAAATATGATCTTAATATTGGTGCCTTTTTGACGATGATGTATTTATGTACTAGTACTTTCTTTCTAATACCTGTTTACATTCCATAAGGTACACTATTTTGGTAATTCCTTGAAAACTCATTCTCCAAATAAAAATTATTTTCACCAATTAATTTTCATCATGTCCAGACACGAAATCAAAAGAGAAACCATTTTATTGACATCGAAATGATAATAAACGCTACATATAACATCAAAATGATAGTAAACACTATATAAAAAATGGTAAAGTATTAAAGTATTTTTTTTAATTTCACTCTTCTAAGAGATAAATTGAATACTCACCTTTTGGAGCCTCCAGTAAAATGTAAACCACCTTGTGTTTAAACTTGTACCTTGTAGTCAAAATAAAAAGGTTGGTTGCATAATTTAAAAAGCCAATTTAGCAACGCATGCATACGTCTTATTCAGTTTAGCTGTGCACACGTATGCATTATGCATAACAGATATCGGTGTAGTGGATGATTAAGAATGTACAGGTAGTGTTATAACAATTTTGATTACATTCCAACTGCGCAGGAATACATGTTTTCTTGTTAAAAAAGAAGCATGTGCTAGGGAGGTCTGTTTACAGCTGTGGAAGATTTGTTTAATTCGAAAATATCTGTAGATATTTTAGCATAAAAGGCACAATGAATGTTTATAAATTATAATTATTTAACAAAATAGAATTTATTATATACATGTATATTGAATATACATGTAGTATCATAATGAAAGTTTGTTTTACACTTCGTTTTTTTAATGTTTTGAAAGATCATATGCCGGGGAAATGGACATTTTCTTGGCGCATCAGAGATATTTGTTTTCAATTTATGTTATGTTATCAACAGAATTTAAAAGTAGTTTTGAAATAAGTTTACTGTAAAATTCAATAATCAAATTTTCGATAAATGTTTTGGAAAGTATGAATATATGGAAACATTTCCTCTGCAACATAAATTTTTCAAAACGGGCATAAAGTATGTTGATTAAACAATTTTAAGTCCCAGATTAACATAAAAAAATGTATTATATCATTTGATTGGAATAATTGTATACATCATGTACAAATGTATACAGCTGCATGCCTCCAACCACAATATTTCAAGAAAATCAAACTTGAGAACAAGGTAAAATGGTTTCCTGCGGTGACATTTTTATAGACATTTCATTTAACTCTTTTCAAAATTGTTTGAAAAAAAAGTTTGTATCGAGAATATAGTTGACAATAATCGATCAATAGAAGGTTTTTGGAGACCAGTGACTGATAAAGACTGGGGACTGAAGGGGAAGGTCGAATAATAGGTCATCCGTCTGTATCATTCATAAATGGCGAGTAATAACGATATGTATGTTTTTGGATCTTTTTTTAATTGATTTAAGTGAAATAAAACAATTTGTTTTTATAGGGATACACAAGCAAATTAATGACAAAAATATCAAAATTATCTTATATACTCAAATCACGCTAAAATGACATATATAATAAACCTAGCCATGCGACTTTAATTAAGAACAAACCCTGGAAGTAACAATAACAGATATTGTGGATATTGTATGATTCAAACAAATTTAAATAATTCATATGACATGTTCTTTAACGTTTTCAGAGTTCACTGTGACAACTATTGTGAAATCTTTATGCTCTAACCTGACCCACTTGGGTCAAGTTAGGAAACCTCAATTTTATTCTTTATATGGAGAAAAGTTTTGTTCCTGTGACTGCCTAGTGTATTTATTTCGAGGACATTTACAGATTAATGAATGAAAAATTCAAAACGAAAACTTTGCCACAGACACTTGGGGTATGGAGCTTAAAACGCCTTTAAAATCCAAATAAAATGTATATTTGTCAATCCCATCACATGATCTGATAATATATCAAAAAACTTAATATAAGCCGTTTTGCAAAATTTCATATTTAAACGTCTATAATAATACACTGGTTTTCAAACAATTTTAACATATACTTTATTGAGACTTGATGGAAACAGGTTTTTTTGTTGTTGTTTTTTTCATATGTGTAAAAATTGTAAGTCTCAATAAAGTACTACTATCAGTACTACAAGATCTGACCCCAAGCAACTGTGTCGGTGAGAAAACCATACAGAGATGAGCTAAAGTTAATATTAAAAAATAATTCACGTCAGATTGCAGCATCGGTGCACGGTGTAAATAATGTGCACTCTGTTGCAAGACTACCTGAGCTAAATTTATATATTGATTGACGTAGCTGACTAATGAAATGAGCTCCCTTAACTCCCTTAACTCCACCCATTGTGTCGTTAAAAGCTTCCTACAGACTGGAGGCGATGTTTCACAAGAAAACATCAATGGAAAATGGGCATCTGACGACAATATTTCTTTGGCTAGCGCTATGTGGCTCGCATTGCCAAACAGGTGAGCCACTGAACTAGTGCAGTAGCCAAACCGCAATTAAAACGGACCAACCAATGATTAAATCTTAATAAGCTTTGTAAAATATCGCATTATTTTTACAAAACTGTGTTTATTTTATAAAACATCAGACAAAATTGCCGCACAGGCGATAACGATTATTAACACCATGTTTCTTTGGGCTAGTGCCTTTTATTGCGATAAATTGAAGATTCCAAGCTATTACAAAGGCTACTTTGGAACTAAAACGTTCTATCGGTACATCTCGGTGGTCTCGGGAAAATCGTTCTTTTTCAAAATGCTTACAGAAAGAACGAAATCAACACATAATGTAAAACCGTTGAAATTGGCGTCAAGGGCCATGTGCCTTATAGTGTCGTAAAATTGAATTTACACGCTATTGTACATACAACGATTGTAAGTAACGATGGGCTCCGTGAAATGGCGGTTTTACAAAAGTTGGAAGGGTACATGTACAGAAAGAACCGGTTAAAGTTGAAACGCTTTGTCATTACGGTATCTGGTGGCCATGCTTCTTGGGCAAGCGCAATCTTCCTTGCATCGAATTAAATTTAAATTTGTTTAATTGCCAACGAAATCAAATTTACGGAATTTTTTAGGGTTTATATGTCAAAAGCACCAGAAAATACCATGCAGGCATCTCGGGATAACAAATTGTGCAATATTTTGTCGTAAAGATGAGCAGTCTCCAATCTATTGCATGAACTATCTTGCAACGAAATTGGGACAATGGAAGTTTATGATTATACAGAAAAAAATCAAATCGACGCACCGATAAAGCCTGTTGTCATGCGGTTATCTGGCGGCCATGTTTCTTAGGCTATGTACATATGCCTCTTATTGCTGTGAAAATCAATCTGCAAAGACATCGGACCAATGACAAGGTCACAGTGAACTCATAAGGGGGTATATATTTTATAAAACTGTTGAATTTTTGTACCGGCAGACATAATTTCCGCGCAAGATAAAACGCCTTAACCATTTCACCAAGTGTCCATGTTTCTTATAGTAGTCCCCATTGCCAAATATTTCCTTTAAGTTGAGACTCAATGCTAGTGCAATGGTTCATATGCAACAAAAATCGGATTAACTGGCTCCCCAAAATGGTGCTTTTTAAAAAAAAATATAGGTTGAAAAATTGAAAGAGTCCACCAGGAACCGTCTTAGTCACGCGAGCAATATGACGGCCATATTTCTTGGGTTTTTGTCATGTGCCTAATATTGTCGTAATTCTAGTACACATGCCAGTCTGCGACCAGTAATGCGTAGGTCAATGTTTGCTTCGGAATAGCGGGGATAGTATTTTGCTGCATGAGTCTTTTTGTTATTTTTTGTAATTTTAAAGCATTATGTAGTGTTTTATCTTAACCATCTATTAGCAGTAATGTATCATATGCAATTTGTGAATTTTGATGAAATTATATATTCTTCCTCGTTAAAATCCTTACACTGACTTACCTTTACAGCTCATATCTCTGCATATGCTGTGGAATCGAATACCATTGTCTACAACCTCGAACCTCGCGTTACTTTGAATAGAAATACTTAAAATAACATTCGTTTCAGTGTTGTTTAAAAACAGAGATATCCATTTCTTTAAAATAGGGTCAAAATTAGCAAATGAAAGACATTCTTAGAATGTAAAAGTTTAAACATATGGTGTCATCATACTAAATTTGGTATATCTTCTGTGATTTCTTTATATCATATAGTAATCTAGTAGTCTCAGTCACAAATCATATTGTACAAGGGAGGTAATCCATTAATGATTTAAGTAAAATATCAAAACAGTTGTTTGTCTTTACACGACAGATGATTTTGGCAGGTTATTATGGCCGTGTTTAAACATTCACATAACCCTCACCTATTGGTTTGGGTAATATAAGCTTATAACCATTTATCCTGGACCATTCAAATGCCCGTAGGAAGCATTTCAATGAAGCATTGATAATTTGTTTTGATCTTTTTGAAAGTATAACTTACAGGGGGCGCGGACGGTAACTTGCACTTTCCTGTACCGTCCATGAACAGGCCCAGTCAAACCGAGCCTGCAACATTTTCAATTTTGAGTTGGTCTTTCTTTAGGGATTCTGTTTTTTTGGGGTTTTTTTGTTGTTTTTTTTTTCTTCTTTCTTTTCTTTCTTTTTTTTGTGGTGTACATGTGCAATGTATATAGTGAAATGCAAATACGTCCCAGGCTAAATGGAGATAGAACGTTTCTTATATTAACATAAAATTTATTAAGAATTGGAACATATTTTAATAATTAAAGCACAATCAAAGAACATATTCAAAACATGAATACAGTTCTTACAGAGAGACGGTAATTATCCTCTCCTCCCAACGTTCCGGAGATACGGTATGGTACAGGTTTATCGATTGCGGCCATTTTGTTTGTTTAGAAATGGCTGCCAAAGTTTACATTTTTCAATGACGATAAGAAATTTTAGTTTTGTGAAGACAGTTAATTGTTCTTATCAAATTAACAATTAAACGTTCACGTAAATCTATGTTTATATTTGTTTTATGTTCACATATTGATGCATTAAGTGTGCTTTAACTTATAAAGCTGTAATTTCCAACAGCTGCGATCAGATTTGCTGTCTCCAGAAAGTGCTTTTTCAGAATCTTTGACAACATGCAATGGGAAAGACACAATGACTGGAAGATATATGAGAAAAACTGTACCTCTTGAAGTGTAAGTTCAGTTTTATTGACAGATTGTTCTAATTGTTTTGCAAGAACTTGATTCTGTTGCATAGTTACAAAATAATTATTTATGTTGCTGTTGGACCTATGTATTAAGATAGGTCTAATTTATGTTCTATAGGGTTACAAATGGCAAAGGCTTA